CGACCATCTACGGGTATTGTTCTGAAGAATGTCGGAAAATCGATGGTGCGAATTCTAGACATCGATGACTTAAGTACACACAGTCGACATGTTGATCAAATACAATTTCAGGAACCAGGTGAGTCTGTTCCAATTTCCGTTGTTAATTCTAATGCTTATGAGCACATTCAAGATAATACAGAATCCTTTTCCAATACAATGTCAGACAGACTGAGGATGAATTTGAGGAGAAGACGTACGATTGATTACAAGCACCTATACTCCAATTGTAGCTGTGGCGGATGTGGTGTTTGAACGAACTGATGATACTTTTGTACTTGTGGATTGTACGATTTCGAATTCCAAATACAATGCGTTCGTTTGTGCTTGTCTCACTTCTTAATTCAATTGCGTTATTTCTGGGACTCTTAGTTCGTGTTATAATTCAAATAATTCAAAACATTATACTCGTATGCACTATCAGCCGGCAAACAATAATATAAATAATTATTTATTGTACATCAAATCATTGAGTCTAGATCATGTCTCTCACGGACCCACACACAATCAATAAATTACTGATAGCTATCCGTAGGAAATTCACATGATTGTTACCGTTTTGACGTTCGGAAATCATTTTTGATAATAATTCGTATGTATTGGTAGTTTTATCAAATCCTATCACAGTTATGTAATAAAGAAGGTCAGGAAACTCTCGCAACTAAATAAACCATAATAAACAAATCAGAATTAGACACTGGTACGAATTCTTCCTCTCTGCGGTTTCATTTTTGTTCCTTCAGTTAGCCAACTAGTGCAGATGGAAATCCACTCATTCCAGCATAAACGTCAACCGGCTTTCTAATTTACACCAAAGATAATACCATTATTAATGTTGATACAATATTCACTGATTTTCTATTTCTAAGCATACCGCCCACAAGTATAGCTTTTTAATCATCGGTTATTACTGTGCATCTTAATGTGGCTTGTTCAAACATCTTTAAAATAAATCATTCTTCATCATGATCTCACTTTTTTGCCTTTTAAATAATATTTCATTTTGAGCCTGCTGAGAATTAAACTAAACATTTTGGAATTGTTGCATGTATTTCTCGATCAGTTGCTGCCACTTTCTTTTTGATATATCTTTCACCATATCAATACCTATGGATTCTTATAATTGATTTGACAACTCCCGGCAAGCGACAGTTCAACTCGGCTTCGTAACGAGCCATAGTCACATTGATTCTGGTGGGAACGTAGTGTAATGGTACTGGTTCCTAAACGAACGATTCTGGAAGCTGAACATATTATTGCTGAAAAGATTTACATCCAACATGTAACGTAGAGAAGGTCAGCAGCAATGAACACGGCAACATGGACTGGCTCGGTCATTCATTTGCGGTCACATAACCTCCCACTTATTGTATCAAACATATTACTCTTCGCTCAGCTCAAATGTGTTCTTCAGAAGTGCTAGACGTCATATTGCTGATGATCGCGATCGTACAAATCAGTACAGACATTGAAGTGACTTCCACATAATATCGTATAGATTAGGTAGTCAAATCATGACAAATCTACAATTTTGCGATTAAGTCTATTATTATGGCAGTACTAATACCAAAGTACAGCATAATACATGTTGTTAACTGTAAAAAAACAAAAGATGACCAAAATACAGAGCGTAGAACAAAGCAGTAGCAATGATGGGGTTTGTAGAAAACGGATCTGGCCCATAACATACCACCAACATATTTCTCTGGTTGGTTGCCTTAGATGGAAGAGGGAAATTCAATCTTGACAAGCTACAAATTAAGTTATAAATAACAATACAGATTAATATTACCAACAGTCTCAACAGAGTAATTGTAAAAGAACTCTACAAGTCAATAAAAAAACATGTAGTGTCTGGTAGTAGATCGCGAATTCAAGTTTCAACCAGGCATCCAGCACAATTCTCTTATTTCAAATATATGATGGTGATGATTCAGATGATAACGTGCTGGATGATGATATATGACCAGTAAATTAACTTAAAAACTCCTCAACACCCGAGCTTCTTAGTGGCAATATCATCAGTCTGAGAAGCGATTTCACGGAATTCGACCCTCAATATAAAAATCAACATAGACGCCTAAAGGAGTTGTCCCTTCCTGGTGCGAGAAAACTAACAGTGGTTGATTCATCATGGCTGGATTGGGAACGGTTTACAACATTTAACTTCACTTACCTCACTGCAATTCTCAGAATATTCCTGAACCAGCGTATTTCGGCATCGAAGTTTAGGTTTCTCATCCTTGCATATAGTCAAAGAAATGACCCGAAATCATCATTCAAGTTAAAACCTAATTAACTTGAAAAGCACAATCCTAGAAGGTTGAAAAATAATCATTCAGGAAAACGTCCTTTCCCTTAACGAAACCAATCATGCTTCAGGATATCTATAGCACTGCCTGTGGTAAAATTTGCTGCTTACAATAAAGCCTTTCCACCCAAGCTGAAGTTTGAGCACAATGAGTAAGTATTGATGAGGTGATGTGAATTGACTTCGGAAATACCGTCAATGCAGTCCGAAACAGTAATATTTACTAATAGTGAAGAGCTTGTAAGTTGCAGATTCCTCTTCATGTTAATACGGGTGTTTCTTTTCGATACTTGGAAGAAGCTGGGGGCAGATATAGTTTCTTTTGGAAAAAGGTACTTCGCGCCGCACGACAAGACTTTGCACTAGACCTGATGTTGTTTGCACTTAATATTAACGTACATTCGCGCATCTCCAGATCTCGAATGTCACTCTGCACTGATAGTGCTAAAGTATAGCGAAAAGTTGCAGAGTAAGATGATATTTTTGCACTTTGAGGCAACATTGATACTTTACTACGTAAGTCTAAACACATGTTTAATAACTACCAGTCCAGCTAAGTATATCTACATATGCGTCGAACACTCAGCCTCAGCAGCAACTCGTCGATAGCCCTAACTATTAACGGCTTGAAGGTCTCAATACGTCCTAGATTTAGAAAAACAGCTTTCTGTCATTTGGTCGAAGTCAGGAAAGTTAGGTCAAATCCTTCAATAGGCCAGGTGCGGCAGTGATCATTGTGTGTTACGACATATATAAGAACGCTTTAAAACACCACTGATTATTCCAGTGTTTGCTATTTAACAACCACTCGTTTCTGAGATACTTCAGAAGGTTTAATTTAGCCACTCTCTTGTTGTAGTTCAAATGACAGAGTAGAATGAATGTTATATGCTACACTGAGCCTAAAAATTTCTCAGAAACTTCATATGGTGTAGGACGGATGCAACGAGCTGCTTGTCGATGAAGTTCACAGTCTTTATTGAATTATGTTATTCTTAGTTATAGAAGGGTATAATTATAGAGACATAACTTCTGAATCTGGAAGATCAAAGTGTTGGCTTATAATGAATGCTATCAAGAAATAAGACTTTGAACAATGTTCCCCAGTACTTATAGAACTAAAGTAAATCTCAAATTGTGTTTTTGATGTATCCAGAAGTACCATTATTAAAGACACTAGTAGGATTTACCAAAACTTGGTTCCAACTGCGAAAATGCGTCATCTGTTTCGTATTCTGTGAAAAATGGATGCTGCTCTACTTCGTTGTTTCATTGAGTTGCAAATGTGATAATATAAGGGTGAGGAGGAATGTGAACTATGCAATACACTAATATCATCGCACTCTTAATCCATCCATGACCCGAATTTCAAGCTGTAAGTTGAACAGAGCAGATCTCTTTTTTAATTGGATGACCATTCCAGCTTCTGTTCTCTAATCTCATTTCATTAAATATATATCCCGTTCAAAGTGAAGAAACATGATACAAACACTTTCTCAGTATGATGTCTTGAATAAACTTTGTAAACGACTTTGATTATTTCTGAGACCAAACTAACTGGATTTACTTACTATAAAATCTTAAGAAAGACAACTGAAGCATTATATAAGCTGATATTCGGGTCCTTCTAGACAATGCGATAATGAATAACCCAGTATGTTCTAGGTAGACACATTAAATTGGCTAATTTTTCGCATTCTGCTTTTAATAATGTTGAGACAGAGGAGCCTTAAGATGGTTTATTTGTGTATCCTTACTGAGTCATTTTGAAATGTAATAGTACCAGCAGGACCTCTTAACTCCCAAGTGATCCTAAAAGCACTGATTTCAATTATTTTGGCGGCCTGGGTTCTCGGTATATTTTTGCTGGACAATATAAAGTGGTCTTGAGATGGACTCTTGAATTGCTTCGACTGTCACTTTAGGCCAAGCAAACAAGGTAGAGAGAGTTCTGGCGGCTTATATTATCCTCTTTATGTGGTCCGAAGGCCACTTCATTAGATGTAAACTACTACTTATGGGTCCCAGCCTTAACATAATAAATTTTTCTTTCGTGATCTTCGAAGTTTTTGTCAGAAAATTCGGAAGCTAAGCCAACCGGACACTTTGTAGAAGTCTAAGAGGCCTGATTTCAGTTGGTCGTCATGACCTACTGAAAAAGTCCATGTACCTCAAGCAGTCAACATTTTTGTACCACAAGGCCTGTTAGGAAGAAAACAGTGTTTTGATTCGGACAAAGTGGTGTTGTTGAGAAGATTGTTCCGAAGTGATTATTCGATTGCTATTTTTATGATATCCGTGTTTGCGATAAACCAGGAATTCAGTAACTGAGATCTTCCAGTAGTTCACCACTGTTATATACTGCATACCTACACCCTTGTTTGCAAGGTTATTGAATCACACCAAAAAAAGTTTGAAGAAGGCAGAAGGGTGAAAAGAAGGAAGATCTGAGTATTACTTAAAGACTGTAGGTAGGATTTTATCAGAGTATGCAAATTTCTGAGTTTAAACTGCAAACATCTTACCACTGCAGAGCTGCCTGAAATTTTAAAAATAATTTTAGGACAAGACCAGGTTTTCTAAGCTTAAGGAATGATGAGTAATAGTTTTACAATACATTACTGATTTGGGGGCTTTAGGCGCTAAATTTATATGTCGCTGTACCGCGCGTGATACGTTGAGTGTAGATTTCTATGGCGCAAAAGATTTTCCAGTCCTTCCGTAGGATTCCAGGACATTTCCCTGCTTTTCGTAAAAAAGAGGAGCATCTCGATGTACAGGGGTCGAAATATAGGGTTTCTGTCGTAAGGAATGCTTTTTATTGTTGATATTCTTAGTGTTCTGATTATGGATTTCCTTCTAAACCTACGTCAGTTGCCTATGACCCTGTTATCGATATGTTAGCTGTCCTTACGCGTGATGGCAACATTTATATGTATCCTTTATATACGCTGATCAGTCTATTGCCTTTTCAGTCTCAACCGCGTTGCGTGTTCATATTAAAGACCGTGTATTTTTATATTTTTTATTTATCATACTAAGTCTTTTAGCTGTTGTGATTCACTAAGCTGATGTATCAAATATACGGGTAGTTTCCAGCTTGTTTTCAGACATCTAGGCCGTGTTTTTTAATCCACCAAATTCTCTGTGTTGATTTGTTTGGAGATTTACGAATACGATTGGGCCTTCTTAATCAGTAGGTTTGCAGCTATGAGTAGCCTTATATATTTTGGGTTTTGTCGAAGAAGTCAAGTTCACTTTATGGCAATTCCTGTATCATACATTTCACTTTTCTGTATTGCCATAACTTATCTAGACTGCTCTAAAAGCTGCTCTTGTAACTGATGAACCTACCATTTTCGGCTGGTTTTCGTCGAAACGACATTCAAAGGCTTATTTTATTAGTACCTGCGAAATACTTATGGTGTGGTATTAAGGTTCATCATGGGTGTTGAATATACATGTTCTAAAATTTTGAAATCTCATTTCTTTAGATTGAGAAAGTAGGTAACATATAGACAAGTTTTATTTGTGATGTCATTAGGTTGTAATTCTCATTTGAAAAGTCGAGTTCTTAGATCCTTTAGTCTTCGTTTAAATACGATTCCTTAACGCTTTTAAGATACGGAAAACCAGGAATATCGTTTTCTGCTGTACATGAAACGAACGCTCAATATATTCAAGTGGTTTTCTTGACTGGCAGTGTAAGTAGTTTATATTATATAACTGTTTTAGAGAAAACTGGTTACATTGACTGATTCAGATGATATGTATTTATGGGAGTTGACTTCAGTCAGTCAAACATCTTGTCAACTGGTCCAAAGATCATGTCTCAAAAGAATTATAAGTCAACTAAAGTCTTTGCCAAGTGGAGTTCCAAGTATTTCCACCAATAACGAAGAAATTAGTCACGTCACTGCTTTGTGCTACGCCTCCGACGGTCGTAGCATCCTGATTGGAACTGATAATGGTTGGGTTGCCTCTGTTCGTTTAAATACAAATACAGCCACTGACGACTTCACGAAATTCTGGTGCTTACCTTCAGCTGATGATGCAATTAATCCTTCTCGAATACTTGATGGGTAAGATTTGACCTATTTTCGATCTTTACTTTGTTCGGTAACCCACATCAGGAAATTATTATTTATGGAGTGATTTTTAGCCTTAGTAGTTCTGGCCTGTTTATCTTTTTTCATATAGTTCGTTTCTCAGACTTAGACTGAAAATTTTAGACAGTTTAAATATCTACTAAGTCAATCACACTTATTCATCTGAGTTGAAAATTGTCATGTTTGGATTGCTAATTTATCTCAAAAACAAAAGATAAACTCGTAGCTCATAATACTAGGTTTCTGGTATATGCTATTCGATTTGATTTGTTCGAACCTTCGCGTCATAATTAAAGCGTTACATTACAGTTAGTTCTGCAGTACGAAACACTGTAAGTAGTCGGAGTGACAATTTTGTCAGGACGTATTAAATGTAAGGAAGACGAGAACGAAGGCAGCTTCATATGCGCAAACGAGATTCACGTTTAAAAAATCTATGGGATTCGGTGGTTCTTTTGAAGACACTGAAGAAGTGGGTCAGTATTTTGTGCAACCTTAAAGACCAATGGACATTTGCTTATGGCCTTTTACACATGTCAATAAGTTCATTTAGTTTTTTAATAGGACTCGCAGGAATATAAAGCCTTAGAACAAGACGAAGCACGTTAAGTTACTGTGTTTAGGCTCTTAAAAAATAACATAATTCTACCAACTTTCCAAATTATTTATTGATTTCTAACTTCGTATAACTTTTCGGAAAAGAATTACTATTCCCCTGGAACGTTAAAATAAGGTAGGCTTTTAAATCATTCCCTTTTTCAAAAAGACCTAATGTTTTTACCAATAAATAGATAAATTCAACTCGTCAATCAAGTATGGCTGTTTGCAAATCATGTATAAAGATTAACCTACATATGTTGAGCTAATCCGTAACACAGCAGTCGTAATCTATGAAAAACCAATTGTTTCACCTTTTCAGGTGCATTGTGTGTAAGTGGTATGTATCGTTTTAGGTGTAATAATATTTGGCATTAAGTATGTTCTACTGTTGTTGGCTCTACGTTTCATGAACTTGACATTTGATGTTAAACTTTCAAAGTCATTTCAAAATGTGCATATGAATGCTGTCTTTTGGTGTTCTGAAGTTTCTTATGTTACTGAGTATCATTTACTGTATGAATCTTGACTTGAACCTAATACATTTACTTGTTGTGGTTCCTTTAGCAGTTATCGGCGTTTTTAATGATAATTAATGACGACAATTCATGTAATCAGTTTGGTTTCCCATATGTCCACTTTCTAGCATTTCACCTGATCGTCGTCAGCGTCTGCGGGCAGATGCAGTGGTGGTTTTATTAGAAAGGCCAGGGTTTCCTGGACAGCTATTAATTGGCTACAATTCTGGTCTAAGTTTATTATTTGACCTCCGCTCAGATCGTATTATGGCACTATTACCGTGGCAACATGGCTTGGAAGCTGCCGCTTGGTGCGGCGGTAGTGGCCAACCAAATAGGTCAAACCCAACATCTCATCAACCCCAATTAGGGATGCGTCTCTTGACTGCGCATTCGGACGGATCTCTGGGAGTTTGGAGTTTGAAGGAAATCGGCTTCGGTACAACAACAATATCTCCCATTCAACCACCCTTGCTTCAAATGGAAGAAGCTCCAAGCATGCCTTATGGTAAGTTGGCTAAATTCTAATGATTTCTCGTTTAATTTGCCATAGATTCAAGGGAGATCAAAGGTTTTATTTATTTAAACATATAAACATTGGTACAAGGAGGCACTAAACAGATATGCGCCACATAAACCATTCGATTTGTGTGAGGGCTGGGATGCTGCTGGGACGCCCAAACTAAAGCAGGTGGTTTTCTTAGGGGGCCACACCAGGAGCCTTCGACCTAAAGGTCTGATCCAAAAGGTAGTGGAGCAACGTCAGGAAATGCAGTACCATGGTAGCCGGTGACCAACAACTGGTCCATATTCCATTTGCTCCATCAGGATACTGGAGCCTATGTGCATCACTGGTTTGGAATCAGGATTTCCCAGCTTCCCCAGGTGGATACTTGATAAAATAAGATGAATTCATGTTATTCTACTTACCTTTTCATTTCTTGCTTTGTTCGAAATAATAAAGGGGGACTATGTTTATGAAACTTACCTCAATTGTAAACGGACGTTTGTGAGGTTTTTTTGATAACTGACGGTACCTCAGTCAGTCAGTAACAACGTAGAACTTCGTACGTACGTACATCAGTGCGAGTTGCCACATCACATTAGCACAGAGATGCAGTGGTCGATTCAAATCCCGTAGTGGTAGAGGTAATAAGAGTATAAGCAATAATCGGGAAGATTAGTGTTTGGAGATGTTACTTAAAGAGTATAATACAATGAAACAAATTTGGGAAGAGAAAAAAAGAGACAAGGAGGAATAAGGAGATCAAAATTTGGGAGAACATAAAGAGTGTATGCACCTGCGCCATTGCAAACGATTTTGAGCCATGTCATTCAGGGGGGGGGGACATATGTCATACAGTTATAATACCGTTTCTTGTGTTGCACAAGAGTAGTTGGTTGCTACATATATTATCCAGGTAATGCAGTTTCATCTATTGCTAAGTATATCAACAGTATATGGAGTTTTTTTCTATATATGATATGTCAAGAAGCTTATTTGTCAGAGTTGGTTTAAGTTAGCATTGACATGACAAATACAAAAGATATTTATAGAACGTTATGATGGTAACCGATTAATTTACAGTGGTCTGGGTATTAACTAGTTTTTATTAAAACCTAACTTTCTACAGCCTCTTTATACGAGCATTTGAAAGTCCTGGTAGATACAATCGTAAAATGTTAATTTTACGAAGTACACATAAATAACAGGACTTCTCGCTGTACAATCTTTGTTTATTTTTTAATGAAGTGTCATAAATTGATTTTATACTATCAAGATTTTTTTAACAAAGCACCCGTCATGTAGAACAAAACGTTATCCCTCAATTTGTACATTTGATATACATTTATACTTACTCTGGATCCAAATAAATGAGATACAATAGCCATCCATTTTATCAGTAGATTGAAAAGTTCATCTATTTTTATTCTTAGTTTTGTATGAATTACGGGTGATGTTCATTCTCCATCATCTGTTTGTGCATAGATCAGTGTTTCCTGAACTTTTTTCTACAATCCAATCATTTTGAAATTATGTGTTCTTCGTTTTGATTTCAAACAGGCTTTAATAATTAGTTCTCTGTGGTTAAATACATAGTTTTCATCGATTTCCTTGGTTTTTCTGTTACTACTGTCTCCAGATGGAAGCTTAATAAAGCCTCAACTTCTGTAATCTAGGCATTCATCTATCAGTCATAGTATAACGTTTTAAATTCTGTTTAATTTGAATTAAACATTCAAATAATATTGACTGTTGTACATAACATCTTGCGACCAATTAACAGATTTGAATATAGTGTCTGGAGTATGACTTTTCTTGATCTAACTCTAAAGCTTGGAAAATGTATTTTTTGGGCTTTGGTATGTCGAATTATGACTTCTTATTTGTAACATTGAAATAATTTACTTTTTTTGTTAGGACCTTTCCCGTGCAAACTGATCAGCAAAGTCTTCTGGCTTCCATCTGCTCTGTAAGTTATCCTTTGATTTTTACAAGCTAGGCTCTATTCCTTAAAAAAATTCCATGTGATACAGAATGCTGTAAGCAGTTAGCATAAAAAATGTCACCGTTCATTAAGCTTTACTCCTTAAATAACTCTGTTCCCCATGTCTATTTCAGGCTCATTATCTTTGCTTATAGACGTAATATAAATTGATGTGTAATTTACTATATCGTTCAACATTCACTGTAATGTTAGTTAAGATAATGGAATAATCATTGAAAACAGAAGTTGGTTTAATTTCTGAAAGAAAAGCTATGATAAGTTGTTTCAAAATTATGACGTAATTTAAGTTTTTCATGGATAATATACTTATTTTTGTCATATCTTTATTTATACGCATAATGATTTGATTAGGCTTATTTGTCGTAATATTCCAAGAGAGCACATGTTATTTATTCGTATTATCCATTATTTTGTTTATTCTCAACAGGGGGGGTATTACTGTATTTGTTGGTGGAATGCCACGTGCCACTTATGGTGAACGTCATACTGTAAGCATATTGCGTGGATCCAATATTGATCAAGCTGCTAATGCCAGTGTTGTTGCTGCCCGACTTGCTGTGGCAGCTGAAGCTGAAGATGATGATGAAATACCAGAAGAAAGTTCATTATCAGCTCCTCCTATACACGTTTTTGATTCTGATGCACCTGAACATGTATGTTTGGACTTACCATCAAGTCTTGTTGATTTAGTTCCTGTTGGTTCTGTTGACGGACCTGTTCAAATACTAATACTTTTATGTGAAGAAGAAATGGTTGTGATTGATCTTATAACTTCTGGCTGGCCTTTTATGCGTCCTCCCTATTTAACTTGCTTGCACACAACATCCCTTACTACATACAATTTAATTACACAGGTAAGTTATATAGAATTTCACTCATCTGTTTGATAACAATATATTTGGTTGAAATGGTTCAAACAACATTTGAAAATGTGTACGCAATGTAATTTGAACTCGTTTGCTCTTTCGGTGTATAGTCGTGACTCACATATAGTTTGTTAGCTTATTCAACTGATAATAGGGAAATAATTCTCCCTTTGAAATAAATTAAATTTTTTCCTCACTATTTCATGTTTCATTTATTACATTTGACCGTTTGTATCAGCTTTCTCATGGTTTGTGCATTAGTTATGGTCATTGTAATTCTGTGGTTTTCTTTTTTCGTATACGTCTATTGTAATCATAAATTCTTATGGCGATAAAATGTCTCAAATTATATACTACTTACAAACCACTGAAATGCTTATTCCTAGTTTAGGTAAAAATTCAAGATTTTCATTGAAATTTCTGTTTAAAAACTTTCGTTGGTTTTATATACTATACTGATGGGAACTGTGATATGTATGATTGATACACAGATTCGTACAGACATATAAACATCGTCAACGTAGAGCTGGGCACTGCTCTGCGTTGGCCAAAGTTCCCATGCTTGATTAGCACGAAAAAATAAAAGTAACAAGAGATCGAAATAATGTATTAGTAGTGACAAGAAAAGAAAAAACCCTGAGGATATCATTTGAAAGAACAGTGAAAAGGTGCGTATGAGGGGATACTGAAATCCAAAGCTTTGAGGAACAGTGAATCCACTTGCGCCATCGCGTGAACCCTTATGAACCATGTCACCAAATGTTTCTAACCACCACGAAGACCTCAACCAAGTAGTCTGAATCTACTAAAATGGCTTGGACCAACAGTTAGTGACTTCATGGACTGATCCAACGTTTTGAGTTGACGGCCCCTAGCTTTCTTCTAAACTTCTGAATTAGCAACGGCCATTTTTCAAGGTAGGCTGTGGTTAAGCACACCAATTTCCTCTCTCGCACACGTTCCATTTGCCTAACCCCAACATCCCTCATTCAGTCATTACACAAAACGCGAGCAACGCTCCGAAAACGCCTATTATCAAAAACCCTTAACCTACCCATCTCTTCTACCTTCACGGACCACGTTTCCCAGTCATAAAATAGAGTGAAATGTACCTCCTGTCTGCTTTGCCTCTGACAACATCCGATTTGTATGACATTCTACATTTTACTTATCCGTCTGTCCACAAGTAGATATCAATGATATTTTATTCGGTATAATTATGTATCCGTTCAATTTGTCACACTAGAAAAGAGTAGCTGTGTAAACTAGAAAAAAAGGCATGTCACTTACAAGGATTTATAATATCCTAGAAAGATAGCATTTTATGGCCTGCAGCTAATAATGTAAATATAGGATTCCCAAAATTATTAATATTATTTGGTGACAATTTTGAAAAGTCCAATGACGAAAGGTGTAAAAAATGGTTCATTAATGGAGGGATGGGCTTGAATAATAGATCTAAACTAGAGTTGATTTAATTTTATTCCTCGGGACCGAGCACTATTTTAAATTATTTATAATATTTATTCCGCAAATTCATTCCTTTTAGAATCACATATTGCATCCCTAATGTTTTCTACGACTACGGATACTAATACTATTTATACTGCCTTGCCATTTTGTTTTGATAATTTCATCTTGTTGTTATGAAAACTTTATATGAATCACATATCCCTCAGTCTCTATGTTCCTAGAGACTGACTGACTGAAACTAAAGATGATGTAAACTAGTCATTTACACTACTTAACGATCATTTCCACTGTGCTTAGACACTGTTAGATGGATTAATACCAACCTTAATGTAGGGTAAATACCATTTCAAAAAGCTGCTGTTGTCAGAAAAGTGGTGGAAAACCGACGCAGACCTATTTGTGTATCTGTTTATCTTAATGGATGTTTATCGTTGATATCAGCGTAAACTAGAGGTATTTTCTCTAAAGTAGTTTTTAATGTTACTATCTGTGTACAATATCCTGGCATAAAAATCTTTACTTACAGACTTTTCTGCTTTACTAAACATTGATTACAGCTGTCAATAAACTGCTACTTTAGTGTACATATAGATAGACAAATATTTCAATTTGAGACCTCTAGTTTTTTTATCTACATAAAGTATGTCTATATAAATTCACAAAACATATTGTGATAAATTTCCTTTCCCAGTAAATTTGCTACTTAAATTTAAAGTCAATACTCCTTTACATTGTAATCATTTTATCGTACAAAATAGGTTAGCCCAACCTTGCTGTCAAATCTTGAAGCTGCTGGTGCTTACTATGGTCCTGAAGGGCGTTTTGGTCGTGGAGGAGCAATTGCAGATAATCCATCAGGTGGGGGTTGGTCCTCTCTCCCTTGGCCAATACAAGGTGGTCATGCATTAATTAATGGATCTCGGTTGTCTACAAGCTCTTTGGGTGGAAATATTCTGTACACAGATGACTTACTTCTTACTGGTCACGAGGACGGTTCTGTTGCATTTTGGCGGCTCAGTGCAGGAGGCTGCCTTCGACGCATTTATACCTTATATACAGCTATATTATTTGAAGATGTCAGCCAATTGGTAAGTTGTTAGATAGTCATTTGTTATCTATGTGATCATCCGCCAAGATTTGAATTTACAATTCTATAGAAATTTAGCACCGAGTGTATGGAAACATCAGATATCAATTTATATTTGTAAAGTCCCAGTGATTAAAATTTTGATTGTTCCAACTTTTCACACCTCATTTTTATTTACAAACCTTTTGTTTTGAGCTTGTATGTGTAAATTTGTCTATAGTTGTAGGCCTTGTATCCCATAGGCGCATAATACCTAATAAAGTGTATGAACCAGTTGTTTATTCTACTCGATTCACTTACTGAAACTCAGTCAGTCAGTCAGTAACAACGTAGGACTTTGTACGTACGTACGTCAATTCGAGTTGCCATACCATATTAGCACAAAGATACAGCTGTCGATTCAAATCTCGTAGTGATAGAGGTAGTAAGAGTATAAGCAGTAATCGGAAATATTAGGGTTTTGAAGATTGGATGAGTTTTCGAGCATCTATCAGTGCGGTAGATGCTGCTGAGATCCAGTGTTTCTCCCTAACCTTATGGTTCACCTTACTTGCAGACATCAATGTTGTTTCCACAGCTTCCTCGGGATGGGCATCACTCACACGGCTGAAATATATTCTTAGCTTGGTTATCATTAAGTAGGACCCTAAGGGGTTTCCTTGCAGCGTCTTTCCTACGTCCAGGAAGATATAGACAAATACGTGCTCTCACTAGAGCGTGATTTGAATCTAAGCATGTGCTCCAGAATGAGTGGCAGTCTTCTATCGAGCCCCTCCATCGGTGGCTGATAGCAATCTGATCTATTTGGGTCCAATGTTAGGACGTATTCAAGGATTGCCATGTCAAATGATCTTTTGCTTATGCTTAAAGTTAGTATTTGCAAGAAAGAGGCGGTTATCTGAGCACAGCTGCAACAGACGGTCGCCAGTATCTGTCCTTTGAGCCACAACACCATTAAATCTCCACCAAGGTATCTTTCCTTCTCTCTTAGTTTACCTACTTGAACATTAAAGTCACCATCCGCTGTTACTATGTCAGAGCGCCTAACATTTTGGAGAAGGTCGTAAATCTTCCTACAAAACTCATCTTTTTTATCATCTGAGCTGCAGCCAATGGGAGAGTAGGCAGAGACGACGAAGGGGCAACGACGAGTGTTTCTATCTTTCCGAGTCTACTGGAATCCAGTCTAAGAGGGCTAGTTCTGCCATAGGACTCAATGCTATATCTACACCTACAGCGAGGCCACGGGAAGCAGCACCAGGGCTTCCAGATAGACGAAGCGTGAATCGAGATGGTTCTTTATTTTGATTTGGAGAGGTCAAATGTATGACGCTACTTGGATCTTGTATGCGCGTTTCGGAGACGCAGTACACATTAATGGCGCGAGATTTTAAAGTCCTAGCTAAGGAAGCCTGTTGTTCTCTATGGCACAATGTTCGGACGTTAAAAGCTTCTTCATGTAGTTTAGAGTGTGGTTTCAGGAGACGAGGAGTAACGTTCCGCGTACTCGAATCGTTCGTATTAGCGGCGCGAGGTGATAAAGGGACGTGAGAAGGGTTAGTCGAGGAGATAAGAGAGTTGTTAGGAGGTGTAGGAAGGATTTGATTGTGAATAACTTGGTCTCGTGTGCTGTTGTGGGTATAAGAGCTGATGTCACTTCCCTGATGCCCACACCGTGGAAGGGTATTTCTTGAGGAACCTGAAAAGGAAGTTGGATTAATGTTGGCCTCAACGACCTGGGAGCGTGACTGCAGAGCCCAAGGGACAACTGCTTGAGGTCAGTCGCGCACGATCTTTTTGTGAGTTTTTTTGACGTGTTAGCTCCGTTCTTCAAAGGGCCTTACCGCCGAAGACGAAAATCCGTGAGGTAAGGTTAGGCGTGACGTTTTTATGATCAACCTTTTCTAACCCCTTCCTTCCTTGTGAGAAGTCAGCAGGGCTGCAGATGCTGGTTGTCCGAGGAAAACACCTTACTGCTGTCACACCCCTCTACAGTCAGCAATACGACTTCACCCTCAGATCATGAGTTGCTGCTTTTAGTCTTACCGTTCTCCAATCGACCTGCCTGGCATGGTAGAACCTACAGGAACATATGTTCCAACCAATATAGCTCGGTTGGGTCATCACGACAGGCATGCCCGACCACCGCGTCAAAGTAGCAGCTACGGTCGAGACTTACTGAAACTACAAACAATGAATAGAAAAAACTGGTTTACGTGAATCATATATACAGTGGTTTCTTTCTAAAGTCTCACAATAATAAATTCATGGTTTTTAAGACACATCTTGATTTCCAGTAATTATGAGTCCCACGCTCACCACTAATCAATCAATAATGAATCTGCATTAGATGATGACAAAATGTTTGTCCGGTTTTATAGGTAAAAGTGTTGAGACACTGTTAAAGTATCGAACTCGTATCATCTTTCTAGCTTTCGTTGAGGAACATTATCTACGTATGATAATCTGAAGTCGATATATTCTAGTTGGGAAAGGTTTATTTTTATTTTTTGTGCAAAATAACGTACAATCATTAGGTGATGGTGTAGTGGTTAGAAGCGATTATTTATGAACCAATAGATTTCAGGCCTGAACTTCACCGCACTTGCCTTGGTTCAAGAAACCGAGTAGTGTCACCAGCCTTAACATAAATAATGTAGCTCAAGGGCGAATACACAAACCTATACGTGGTAAATGATTTGCACAAATAAAAAATTCTATCGAATTTTTCGTCTTCATTCGTCTCAAAATTAGTGTACTTCAATCTGTGTTGCTTATTCGATTTCCAGACTTCCTGCGAAGCTTGCTTCAAATACTTTAAGCTTTATTTTTAATTGGTCATTATACCTACATTAAGTATCAAAAGCCAGCTATTTCAGTAATATTAAAGTACCTTTTCCGTCTCTCTTACATGAATGATAGTTCACTTCAAACGTCTTATTAGGATGATGGATTTTTAGATGATCAGGATTTATCCTCCTAAAATACTCCAGTTGGTTTGACTACCTTTAAAAAAAACACAACCGCTTATTTGTACGACATTTAGAACAAGTCTGTTATCATCAGTTGTCGTCGAATATCACATGATTTCGCGCACCGCTTCATCATTTAAAGTAATCTTTCCAATTTTTCTATTTACTTTAGGATCATCCTAATGGTGTTGATGATGATGGCGATGCATGGCCTCCCTTTCGTCAGGCAGGTGTATTTGACCCTTTCATGGACGATAGCAGAGTAGCTATACAATTCATTTATCTTGTTGATAATACACTGGTTGTGGGTGGAGCTGCAGGTCAGGTAAGATATATATTTCATCATTTATCACGATTCTTATACCATAAGATTTGTCCACTTATCCCATCTAAAACTTTAAATACAAAATAATACCAGTTAATGAAAATAAAACGACTGTTGCTTTTTCATCTTACAAGATTATTAAGTTTAAATGGATTTACCTGTATAAATGTGTGAAAATATTTTGATAAGAGTTTGTAATATTAGAAAACTGCGAGTTCAGTCTTGCAATTGGGTTTCTATTTCAAATACTGGTATTTTATAGTTTTTGAATGTCTGATTACTTTCTTTTACCATGTGACAAGTGAAATGGTTTCTGTTCAATCAATTGTACAAATTTATAGGTAAAATTGTTATACAGTTTGAAAGATACTAATTAATTATCTGTGATAAGTTTTGTTGACTGACTTTGCCAATGATAAAACCTCATACCTCAGCTCGTGCAACAGTTGAATGCAACGTGAATGTTGTTGATTTGAATGTATCCATAGTGTAGGTTCCTCTTTAGTTATATTATTTTTCCCCTTATCCATCGTGAATATTGTTTACTACTAGCAATATTCAATACTAAATTTCTCCATACAGAAATCAGTGATAAGATTTTCATTTAAATCGTAAACAATCTTCTATATAAGTATTATTAGACAAGATTTTATAGGATTCGTAATTTAAACTGATTAGTTCTGTGTGTAATGAATTTAATAATCTGTGTGAAAAATTCATTGTTATATTAAGTATCAGTTTGACATGACAAGTGTTTGTTGTGATTGAGATTTAGATAACTTTGTCATATAGCAATATTTTATACAAAAATGTAATATGTTTTCAAACTGTGTGTAAAAGTAGTGACTGAAGTAATCTTGTTTCGATAGAGTACTTCGTCCGTTTTGTATTTTTCCATGTGAAATAGAATAAATAATAGTTAAAACTGACTAATGGAGATCCGTGAGTATCTTTTGATTCATTAAATGAACTACATTAGTAACTTGGATTACAGCAACTCCGAATTCCGATACTTTTGTTCTTCGGCTTCGACCTCTATTCCTTTTTTCTATATGGTAAGTTTCTTTGTGGATTGCTGTCATAATAGGGCATAAATTCTCGTTGCTGTAATATAGGCTGTTTTGACCAAGTCTTCACAATATTATTAGAGGCTTTAATTAATGATAAAATGCTCATGAAAATAGGTAAATAAATCTTCATCTCACTGATGTAATTAAATACTGTAGTTAATCTTATTCAACCTGTCTTTAATTATATCTATTCAGCAATTAAATATTCTTATCTGAAGGAGTTTGAAAAATATTACCTTATTAGTATTTTACCAGTGAAATTACTAATCCATTTTACTACTTCACATAGTCAAATTTTCATCCTAGTTTCTAAATTCCGATTGAGCTGTGGCTAATTGGTTAAACTACTCATTTTTAAAACACTAAGTAGCAGATTTAAACCCCCTACTCTACATACCTTCATTTTGAATAGCTACATACTAAAATTAACCCTCATCCAAATTCTCCCAAAACCTGGAATCTCCATCTGTACTTGGTTATTAAACTTCCCAAAGGAATAAAAACCATTCCAATTGTTTTGAGTTACTAAACTACCTTTTTTATTTCTTTGTTTACATAAATTTTTTAGTCGCCGTCTAACAATACATAGTCATTATATGCTATCATATATTATTGCTTCTTATTATTTTAAGCTTGTAAAAACTTTTTATTTGTGAATAATGTAAGACTTCTTATCGAGAAGTGATGAGAAGATTTGATCATGAACTAAAAGATCTCTAGTGCTGTTACAGGTATGAAGACAGTTGTCATTCCTTGGTTTCCCACACCGTGGAATGATATTTCTTCCCATCATGGGAAGGTAACATCGCTGCAGATGCTAGTTGCCCGATAGAAGCACTTTACTTCCGTCTCATCTCAGTAGAGTCACTAGTACGACTTTTCTCTCGGACTATGAGTTCGCTGCACTTAGTCTTACCACAGTATGACATAGTTCACAATCGTTAGCAGGTAAATTCACTCTTTGTCTTCCCGTCGTTTCTAAGTTTCTAAATTGCTCATAATTTTTCTGTATTATTTTACTAATTTATATTTTCTCCTCGAGTCGTATGTTCGATGTCCAATCTTCTCTATCACCAATAGTGCTTTTACTACATCTACTACTCTGGGATTTGTTTTGACGATCTCGTCGCTCTGTGCTGATGGAGCATGGCAACTTGAACCGATGAATACACATGGCAAGTTGCACATTGCATTTGACTGACCGGTGGCATTTTATCAAGTTTATTTATATATAGATGAAAAAAAGCGAATGGTACCCTTCTTTTTTCGTCCATGGATCAATTTAATAATCTGTCGATTAAGTTTGATTGATTAGAACCGTGTTTTATATCCAATAAATGACTAACTTGACGACTTTACACAAATTTTATTACATTAAAATGAAAATAAATTTATGAAAAATTCTCAACAATTCCTTTATCTCCTCGAATACTCATTATATTGTTTACATAATAAACAGTATATAACGTTGTCTTTATCAGTTGTCATCTTTTATATTTGTGTGCTTTAAACTATTTGTTAAACTCTCTTTTATAACCATTCCTATGTCAGTGATCAGTGTTTGACGTGAAGTTCTAGCTATCCATTTTGTTATTTATCCTACAACACTACTAAACATATAAGCCTTATATATGTTCATTTTATTATCATACACGATTTCGTACATTTCTTGTATCATAAATTTAGAAAAGTGAATCCTTTTTAATAAAATCATTATTTTGTTATATTATTTTGTGTTGTTATTTCCTGTATATATAAAAATGTATATATTTATTACTTCAGTGACATATTGACGATGTTTTACATTGTAAGCCTTGTCTGTTAGTATTCATTTTCTCTTTATTTTACGTCTGAAGTATCATGAAATAACAGAATATTTATAGCTTAGTGTAAACTTGCATTCTTGTAATTTTTTCCATCTATAAGTCCCTAAATTTACAGTATTTGCATAGTGTTTTTTTGTCAACTATTCGATTATGCAAATTTTCTTATCCTTAAGTCACTTAAAAAACTCATGATATATATATCATTTATGAGACGATAGCTTTCCTATCCAAATCTGTTTATATACACTAATAAACATTTTCTGATAAAATGCATCTCAATTTGTTATCAGTACTATCTTTATGGTCCATTGTATCTTCCTCTACACGTTGTTAGTAATTAGGTATACTGTCTTGTTATAATATGAATTCATTAGAAGCTTACTCTTTATGGATCATTAATTATCAGTTTATGTGACTGTAAAATGTTTATAAATTTTTTTATCATATCCATAATTTGTACATTAACATGAAAGTAACTATGGCGTATTCGTCATCGGTACAGTCTTACTTATAATCTAATGATTATTTTAATAGGATCACTTTAAAGGTCCTGTAATTGTCCAGACTAGTTTTTGATAGTGGTCGTACTTAAAAGTAAGTTTGGTTTTAATTCTTATGGATATACTTATAAAATTGAGTCGGACAATCCAAAATGTCACATCAATCGTTGGAGTCATACAGTATTGGACTGAACCATATAAGTAGTACTTAAGCTGTACTTAGTCTTTTCTATCACTATTGACACTATTAATCTTTATACTACCCCAATATTTGTGTTGATAATCTGATCTCGTGCTGATATGCTGTGAGAACGTGTATCAAGCACACATTTCCCAAGTTGTACATTGCTTATGACTGACTGATTTGTCAAATATCAAAGGTTTTCATTTATAGACTACTTGAGTAGTATAAAATGTGTTTACCTATTTTGAATGAAATATAATTGTATTTAAGTTGATGTTTTACTTCATAGTGTTGATAGGATCGTTGGATAAGCACACTAGATTTTAGTGTTGAGCAACTGACTTTCGGATTATTGTTGGCAGTTAATAAAGCTTTCTGTAAAGTTTCAAATAATTCTTATTGATGAGTACAGGAGTTATTTATTTATTTAAACAAATAAACATTTGTACAAAGGGGCACCACATATATTTGCATCACGCTTCGTCACTCGGTTTGTGTTAGGGTGCCCGGGCGCCCAAATCAAAACAGATGGTTTTCTTAGGGGGCAGCTTCCCGAGTATTTTTACCTAAAGATATAATCCACAAGGTAGTAGAGCAACATTGGGAGATGCAGTCTAGTTGTAACCAGCGATCAACAATAGGTTTATACACCATTTGTTCCCCCAAGATCCTGGAGCCCATGTACAACATTGGTTTAAAATCAGGATTTTACAACTCCTCTAGGTGGATCCTGGATACCCACCAACCCTGCTAAAGCACCGGACACTCGCTTTTCATCCTCGGGATTTCGTAAACAACAATCTGTCCTCAGAAGATAGTGATAGGTCTTTCTTGACAGTGGCTGTATACTCGTGACCATGTGAGAGTATTTCGAGAGGAAGAGCTGACTCTCCCCACCCTAGACCGTACAAGGGCATTTGGGGGACATAAAACCTGTCTAAATTTCTATAATTGATATTTATCTCTGAAGAATAATAATGACAGTTAACTTTTGATCGTTTGCTTTATTGATAATTAGTTATTAGTTCATAAGAAAGCAAATGATAGTTCTTCGGATATCTTACTAAGATCAGGCATTATGAGTAAGAAAACTAAATATGATCCCATTAATATCTCAGCTAAATTGCTGCGTTCTTTCCAGTTAGTAAATGTATTATTATTTGTATCAGTCGCTTTCTGAAACTTTTAGGCCATTATTTTTCTAAATTATCATTTATTATCAGTTTAGGGTTGTAAATATTGTTGATTTTTAATTGCGATCATGTACCGACCAATGTTAGACCGACATTGAAAACCTGGAAGAACTAAACAGTCGTTTCATCCTAGTATGGAACTTCTCGGCACTGCTAAGGAGTTAATGCTCATAAAACGGAAATTCCGTTTCATTTAAAAAAAAAAATATTTTGTATTGAGAAGTATGATACTGAATAAAGCGAGTAAATTAATATTATTATTACCATTATTACTACTATTATTATCACCACTATTATTGGTTATTCAGCTCCACTTAATGAATCATCAAAAATAAGATTAATTTATATGAGTATGTAGTGTACTTTCATTTTAAACTAGAACAAATTGTGAAACACCTTTTTCTATTTAAATCATTTGCATAAAATTATGTTATGTCACACAAAATAAAAATAATTTAACCTTAGTTATTCATACATAATTATAGAAAATAATACTGTTTCATACTTTATCATATATTGAATAATAAATTGAAACAGTTTTTTTTTATTCTTCCACCTTTAAACTCATTAGCTTTGTTTAAACTCATATAATTGTAAATCTAACAATCAAAAATTAATTAATTTTAAAATATACACAAATAAATGGAACCAATCAGAGATTATTAAGGCCCGTTGAATACATGAGTGAATAATTGATTTTTTTTTCTCCTGTAATTATGTATTTTATTTCTCATTTCATTATAAATGAATGTGATTAGTAATGTAAATAATTGAGTGTATGTATTTATTCTAACATTTCACATATTTCATTCTTTTAGGCAATTGTATATCAATTTCTTAATTTCACTCCGTGTATTGAACCTGCAATTGTAACAATTAAAAAATCAATGCCCGGATTTCAATGGAAAGGACATGCTCCCCTTACAGTAAATAGTTCATGTTTTATTCATTACCAGTAAATATTTTAAATTCCAATTTATGTAAAATTAGTTGTGAGAAATGAAATGTAATTGAAAACGTGATAAATCTATTCAGTGTTGTTTAAGTTACTTTATTTTGATTGCATCTTCAACTCGTCATGTTATCTGGATTATGTTTTTCTTGTCAGTCTTATTCATTAACAACTTATTATCGGCTTAAATTTGGTAGTTAAGTATGAAAGGAATACTAAGTTTGTATGCTTTATAGTACACACCTTTAAGTTCTTTTTGTGGGACAAATGTATGTATATCAAAGTCATATGACCATTGTTTGAAAATTTTTTACAGAACGATTAAAAATAAATCGTCAACATAGTTGGTTGTCACTCTCGTATGGGAGTTTTATTTAACTTCCTGTTTTATTGGTTCTCTTCTGTTCACGTTTTGTAAGAAACCTCTGTTTAGTTCACCTCATGTACTTATTTTACAGCGTTATTTATTCTAAGTTACAAGTGTTAAGTTTGCGAAGCGCAAAAAATGTGAGAAGACTAAAGGTATTTAGTTAAAAACAGCTTTGAAGTATCACATGAATTTAATGAAGCAGGTTTTGTGGACGTATCTTACAGGGCAATTTGTGATTCTCATCGACTAGATAATATTCAATGAAAACAATACTTTCCTAGGTTTTACATTCAACCAGTGGTTTTCGTTTACCGTTTTACAATCATCAAGATATATCTAATTTTTTACACAGTTCGAACGCGGACGATGAAATAATGCCAGAATATCCCTAAATAAACAGTCTTGTACTCACCTATTAATTATTTAATACTTGAGGTTGGTATATTCCTTAATATTTGTTCCTAGTTGTTTGCTTAAGCAACCAAACATTTTAAAGTTGTAAGTTTACCAGTACTTTTGGAGTAAAGATATCTAACACTTTGTTAGGCTTGAAAAAATTTCGAATTTCGAATCTTTTATTTTTTTCTGTTATGTTTTTTTTCGACTTATACGAAGTAGTTTCTTTTACTGTGTTTTTAGCTTCGAAAATGCTTTAGTAACAAGATCACTGTTAATCCAGAACAAGCTACTCCACTCCCTGCTCAATTACAAGCTACAGGAGTTATTTTCGTACAGCCTCCTGCACGTATTACATCACTTCTTTCAAGTGAATTTGAATTAACTCATCTAAAAGAATTTAGTCAAAGCCAAACAAATAACATTGGTGGTGATGGCGGTTTACAAATTTTACTTGCTCTTGGTACACCACATGGTTTCGGTGTAGTTTTTGTACCGAAACCTTTATCTAATAATGATTCAAATACAAAAAAACCATTACCTCCTCAACCATTACTTGCTGTGTCAACAATACCGGATAATATTGATGCTCTTCAAGAAGCTGCTGCTGGTGAAGGTTGGGCAAGGCGACGTACTCGAGAACTTAAAAAAAGTCTTCGTGATTCTTTTCGACGTCTTAAAAGAGTACGATCAACTAAATCAAATTTTCAACCAGTTGCCCCAGCTTCTACTGCTAATGTTAGTCGTGCTGGCATTCGACGTACTGTTACTCAAGTAGGTTCTTTTAACCGTCTTAGGTTTATTTATTTGATTATTTAAAGAAGCAATAAGTTAATTGAACTAGATAAACTAATAAAATCTAATCAGTCGTCATCAGTTCACTTCGAATTATTTTTCGAATACCATTTGTCGTTTTTGTGAAATGAGTTTCTTAATAAGTTTTACGTGAGCTTAAACAAACAAAAAATATTCTCTTAAGTAATAAGGTACAGATTCATATAGTAGACTCCATCGTCTCTATATTGTGTAGCCAGATAAAAAGTCGATATATCAAGTGGTTATAGGTAGTCGACAAGTTTATGACCAGTTGGCATTCATAAACAATGTATATTTGCAATCTTTGGGAAAATTAGTGTTTGCTGTAGGATCCAAATGTATGTTACAATCAAAGTCAATACCACTAAGTTGTTAAGGCTGCGCTAACATATACTTCTAGTTTTCTTTTTAACGTTGATTGATCACTGAGTGGTAACCAGTGTCATACTATTTAATCTCTAGCATTGATCATGATCTGTCGATTGATTTTCATTCTAGTCACTAGTCTATATGACTTTGAATTGCTAATCGTCGAATAGTTTTCAGACCCTCAACATTAAACAGTCTATTTCAATGTTAAATTATTTAGACCAGTGACTATATTGCAACTTGACTGTAACAAAATTGAGTAGTAAATTTAATAATCAGTGTACGACTGAATCTCTACCTCAGCCTTGTATTGACGTTTACTGAAACATAACTTATTGAAAAATAGTATGAAGTGAATTTTGAAAGTGCTTATTACATCTTCGAACGATACTTAAGTGTGTTGATTTTTCATATCACTTTGTTATGCTTCAATATTAATGGATTCGAAATCGTTAAGTTGTAAAATATGTATTTTCAGCTTCTTAAAGAGGTTTTCACTAAGACTGTATTCTTGTGTCTTTTTATGGAAAATAATGAAAAGAAAAAGCTATTCGCTGTCGTAATGAATTATTATCTAAATTCTTCAACTTAAGGAAATCGATGTAATTACTTTCGATTACTGTATATTCCATTTTCGGTCATGCATACAAATGGTTCCATAGCATATTCTGAATTACGCATATATCTTTTATATTTATCTAAGTCTAATCGTGCTGCTCCCAATCAAACTGATGTGGCTCCTCTTGATGAAGCAGAAAGACGCAGTGGACGTGTCCCAGATGAGAATATATTATTAATATCACAGTATAATGTTGAAAGAGAAATATGCGATCGTGTTCAAGATACTGCTAATGTAGCTATTGTATCCTGTTTTGCATTTGGTCCACCATTGTTTAAATCAAGTCCATCAAATTCTCGTCCAATGTTACATCCAGTTGCTACACTTTTTATTGGTACTAAAGCTGGAACTGTTAAATTATATTCTATTTTTGTTGACAAAACATCATTAAATTCTAGCGTTCTACCTAAACTACAGCTGTATTATTCTCGAGAACTTATTTTACAACATCGTGCTCCTGTTCTATCACTTCGTCTAATCGACGCTAAGTCAAATATGCCTTACTCATTATCGGGTATGTGTTGTTAACGATATTACAATTGTAATACTTACAAATTTTTTATCTAAGGGTAGAAGAAATCATCCCATACATATTATTCTCACGAAATTATAACAAAATCATTTAGATTTTAGTAATTCTCTAATTGGTTTTATAGTTAAAGAAGTTATATTTCTATTATTGAATGCCGAACCGATAATCATTTAAATATTTCGTACATATGTAACTCTACTTCACACATACTCCCCAAAGCAGTCATATATAGCAAGTTAGCTTGACAATATTAATAGTCTAGTTTGTTGTTAGTAGAGTTATTAAAATATCAATATGGAACTTTAAGAGTGTTTTTCTCTTACAAATTTTTTTTTTACATAAAACCAATAAATTAGTACAAATATAGTGTTCAAATTGTGCCGTTTACTACATTAATCAATACCATGAAATATGCACAGAGAGGTACAGAATAAATTTTAAATATATGAATACAGAAAATTAGTAAAAATTGAAACAAGTAACATATTATATTTATTTTTAGCATGAATTGAAATGATTCACTAAACAAAACAAACTTACAATAAAGTTCCATCGAATTATTGTTTGTTTAAAGTATTCAGAAATAAAACATCTTTTTATAATAAAGAGTATCCTTGTAGATTGGAATATATTAAGTAACCTGGTTGAAATCAATTAACAGTCCAGTCATTTCGAATTTGTAATAAGTTTCACTGGTTACATAAGAATATGTGTATCTTTGTTTCGATTAGTATTACTTAATATTACTATCTTTCGTACAAGACCAATTATCTAATAGTGTTGTTTTCACTTGAACTAAATTAAATCATTATTGTCACACTTTGTTCTCCATATTGGTTTTCGTTTAACATATTCTACAATTTGCAGGAAAGATGTAATTTAAGGTCCAAAGTGTAGCAGCCGTTGGTTTAATGGTTGAAGATCATTCGACTTTCAAACCATATTGGTAACGGGTTCAAGTCTCACCCTGCTTTGTTTTAGAGTCCTCGAACAAAATGCTGGTCACTCAGAGCCGAGTATTTTTGTCTATACTCGACAAATGAGTCACATTAAACATAGTTTTCTGAAATTAACTGTTTAGTTTGCACTCGATCATTGTAATTAGATACATGTGTTCCCCTTGTTTCCCATTACTCGATATACTATTCTCTTTTTAATATAGATTACAAACATTACATATCTGATTCTGGTAAATCTCATAATCTACCTGTATTATCAGTTGTGAGTGAAGAACAAATACGATTATTTAATTTGCCTAATTTACACCTAAAATTCAAAGCTCGTATTACCGCTATTGATGGTTATCGTATCAAATCTGCTTCAGTAGTTGGATTTCGAATACACGGAAAAACCAGTTCATCATTATCAAAAGAATCCACTGGTTAGTAATTAGAAATCACATTTTATTTGGATAATTTCTGTTTTTTTTCGACCACTTACGTTTTATTTCAATTTGAAATGGCTTGGATACCCGTTGCACAAGTGAGTGAGTCTATACTGACTTGTGTTATAATGGCTATATCAAGGCAATCCACATACGTCAACCAGGACTGGTCAAATTTCAGTAAAATAACACCAACAGGATAATCTAGTCTATTTTTACTCGAATTAAAACGCGTACCTGTTCCATAAATAAGTGGCTATCTGGACTCCCTAGCTAACTGAATAAAACGTCAGCGTTTAAAGCAAACAGTACTGGTCTCGAGTCCTGAATTGAACACCGATTTCGGTATAGGTATACCCATCTGACTCGTTCCAAATAAGACGAAACGCGCGTCCTTAATCCCACTACTAGCCACATTTTGTCTGTTCTGTATTATGACGCACGTTGTTATAAGAGTTACGGTTATTTATTTATTAGTTTGTTCTTCATCTCCATCTTTACTTACATAATAGTTGATTCTGCTTGTGGTGATCTTGAACGTTCAAATGCAAGTGGTATATCTGTAACATCTCAAACAAATCAAAACTGTGAATATTCATTTGTTTTTACAAATGTTGGTGGTCAAGCTGTTTTGCTTAGTATGCCGCAACTTCGACGAATGGATACCTTACATTTGCTGGATTCTCATGATGTAGTTGCAGTCAGTTCAGTTGTATTTTCTCAACCTGGCAGTATAAATGTAAATACTTCGTGTTATGTTCCTGGACCTGCTCTCGGACTTTATCAGTTGGCACCTGGTCAAGTATGTATACATTCTGTAAATGTTTATTACTTTATGGCGTGTGATTTATCCTTAAGACACTGCGAGTCCATGTAATCGACTGAAATTTGCGTTCTGGAGCTTGAGTTCTTACTTTTTTTCTCTCCACAAAATACTTCATGTATGAATGATTTACATAATCATAAGTATAACATTGAATCATTTATCCAAACCAGATACTTGTGAATACAGATATGGCTGTATGGAAACGTAGAATTATCTCTTTTAAACTTGGTCTTATCCATTATTTCTCGTCTTACACTTTTACAATTGTATTTCCGAAAATAATTATTTTCTTGAGACTTCACAGTAACGGTGGGACTAGTGTTCATGCTTTTTCCTGTATAATAGAGTATAAGATTTTGCACGGTCCAAATATTTAAATATATTATCAAATAAATCTATAATACTTCTCTTTCCTTTACACTTCAAGTCTGTTAAAACCAGGCGTTTTGAGAAATATGTAATTAGGCAAGTTCATTTGTAAGTATTGGTCTTTTTTGTATCATATTTTCTGAAAAATAATGCGTCGAGATTGAAGCAAAATTAAATCTGTTGAATGTTTACATCTCGAATATTGACCACTATCAATTTATTTTATGCAGAAATTCAAGTAAAACACTTTAGAGATGTCATGTAATCTTCATGTTTGCTTTTCTATTTAGTATAATTCCATAAAATAATGAATCCCTTTACACGAGAATCATAGTTTTTTGTATGTTTTGAAATGTATGGTCAACTCCTATTTTATGGTGACCAAATATTCTACACATTTATATAAGTTATTAATTTTGAAAACTTATATACCATAATAATATGTCAACCAAATATTTTTTTTCTAATTTATTTCTATTATTTAAAATTGATAAATTAAACCAATAACTTGTTTATTTGTTTATTATAAAAAGCTTACACTTTTTGACGTTGTACGTACTGGACAAAAAGCTAGCTCACTTGGAGTATCTTATCGTCCTATATATCGACTATCTCTTATTGGCAATCCAAATTCAAATATGAAAACTTTATGCGAAAAGACAAATAGTATTGGAGATAGTAGAATTTCTAATAGAAGTGTTTTATCGACCAGTCAGTTGCATAACATATCACAGACATCTAGTGTACTTAGTTCATCCGTACAAAATCAATCAAATTCTATGTCATCACATAATCTAAGTGATTCAATAAGAAATGGTCTCGTTTCACCTTCTGTATCATGTACAAGTGATAGAAATAATCACAGGTACTTTTAACGTCTTATTTTGAATTAATTTCACTATTTTTTTCACTATGAAGCTATTTCTCTCTTAAATTCACTCACAATTACAAAGCAAATCTCAAGAATTCATTCTGTTTTTACTTTAATTTTCTTTTCTATACTTACATTCATAATTTTTATGTAAGATTTAATAGTTGAAGTGCTTTTCTAGTTTAAAGGCAGTTTTATCATGTACTAAAATCAGCTGAGAAATAATTAGAGAATACGTGTGACACACAACTGGAAAATGTTTGTGTCTTACTAGTTTTGAACTCCTATCAGTAATTAACTACGCGTGAGCACATGAAATCGCCTAGAAAAAAAACTTCAGGTCTTACAACGAATGTGACATTTTCAGACTATTACATTAATATTCATAACTTTATATTCGCTACCTCAGTTGTTTTAAAGTATATAACTTGACCATTCAATATGATCAGTAATTTGGTGTATTTATATATGAAAATTTCCGTTTTATTTCACAAGTGATAACTTAATTAAGTCTATAACATTTAATAATACATACATATTTTATGTGGGAATTCAGGAAATATTGTAGATAACTAATAATTATGGTAAACACCTTATTCAAAAATCATTATTCTTGGTTATAGTAAAGAATTCTTATCAGCAAAAGATATATAATTCATTTGGTATTACAAACAAAATGAATCTAAACTTCACCCCCTCTCACAAGCAAGTGGTTATCAGGTTTCAGCAGTTAAGTGGATGACGCGATGATGTTTAAGGCGAATGGTATTCGGTTCGATTAACTGGAATGCAGGCACATCCATCTGACGAGTCCCAGGTAAGACGAAATGCGCGTTCTAGATTTCACTACTAGCCACCATCCATCTTTGTTTAAAAATACACAATATTGTAAGATATTCTTCTAATATTCATTCAACTTGTAAATATTCAAATACCTTAGTGAAGAACATTTCTAGTAGTCACTCATTTTCCAAATTCACCAGCGAATGCATAAGTTCCAATGTAATCAATTATTTCTTGTTTCTCCAAATATTATACACAGAAAAAAAATCTGTTTACCTTTCATCGCTGATTTTTCATTTTTCAGTGTTTAATTCCTTAACACATTGTAAACTTTTAGTGAAACTATAGCTACAATAAATAGTTAAAATTGGAATAAAAACAAGAATTTAGTTTCAATATATGCAAAGTTAATCGGTTGAAATCTATGAATTGAGTATCTCACGTTTAATACCTATCACAATATTAATTCTGTATGGTGAGTGGTATTGTTCAGTCATCATAATTCAATTAGGAAATTAATTGTATGCTAATGAGTTATTCATATATTGTCCTAATACTTTGTTTTATTTATTTATTTACAGGAATCGTGTATCCTAAATAATACAATTGATTATTCGATTTATGCTAATCTCTCAGTAACTATATACTAGGTCAGTGCTACAATTTACCGCAAACATATCATGCTTTCTCTCTCTCTCTCTCTCTCTCTCTCTATATATATATATATATATATATATATATATATATAGGTCTGCCCTTCAAAACAATGTTTTTGCCTTGAAATGATCTTCATTTCCCCAGACTAATAATCCTGGTGTATGGTTTAGTCAAAAACTGTCACTAATTAATTCTTTATTTCTCTTATCAGTTTAATATGATCTATCAGTATAATAAGTTTTTCCAATATTATTTGTTTTAGCATGTTTGTTTTCTTTTCGTTCAAGTTTTCTTCCTGATGTTGTTAGTATTATACACACTGCTTTGCTTTATTTTTGTTTTCACTATCTTTATCATGTATAATAAAATGTGGATTGAACAATTTTGATCTCTGTCCATTGTTCAATTTTCAAATCACCCATTTAAAATGTTAGAGAAGAAAAAAAAACAAGAAAATATGTACTTACAAAATATACACTGTAATACTTTGTAGGTCTACGTTTATTTTAATCTGGAAAGCCTTTAACGCTATATTTACATATTCAGTTGAATTTTTTTATATACATAATTTTGTCTTTTCTGTTTACATTTGCTATATCCTTGTAAACTTGACTTTATTGACAAAAGTAATAGGGTAATTGTTTTCAAACGAATTGTTTGTTCCAATTATATTTATTATTTATAATTGTTTAATTTTAATTTATGGCTTATTCATTTAATAATGACTGAAATACACATTTCATATTTTATTAATTAATATCGAAATTGTTTCTTTATAGTTTCAGTTATTGTATACATTTTTCTAAATAACTTCCCTACACTGATTATCGATATTTGGCGAATAAAAAAAGCTTCATATTTCATATGTATTTGAATGAGAATTGTAGTTTTTTGCAGCATGATCAGTGTTCTTAGTAATAAGTATTTTTTTTCTAATAACAATTGTACTTTAAAACACAACAGTAGACAGGAGGAATATGTTTGTGTAAAGTTACAAAGTACTTATATAATACATTATGCATAACCTTCAATCGTTCGTTTGCATCTTTCGGTGTGTTCTGTTACCTGAACTATCTTCTCGTCTGGTCTCCAAGTGTTCTGCCAGCATTGTGTTTTCAATGCACTGAAACTTTTTACTCCGTCTGATAATTATAGCAACTTCGATGTGACGTCCCGCTACACACTACTTACAAGAAATTTTGCCAATAGTGTCCACTACAGTATCTGTATTCATAGACACTATTTTAATGTCGCTTTGTCTGATAAAATTTGTTTTAGTGAAACTGAGAATTAAAAAGGTTCATAAAAGTAAAGCGTTTATAAGTCATGAAGATTTAGATTATTTGTTAGTTTTAAATGAATTCGTAAAAAACGGATGTACACTCGTTTTGTTTGTAATAGTTGATTCTGACGGTTACTATATTTATTATGTTGTAACAGTTACCAGTGATTTTTATTTTCTAGCTTTGTATGAAAATAAAGTATAAAAAACTTATTATATGTTCAAGCTTTTTTTTCTGCTGTTTTTAATCACAAATTTTCTTTATTATTTGTTAGTTAATAGACCAGACTAGACCCGCCCCCAAATGCCCTGGTACGGTCTAGAATGGGGAGAGTCAGTTCTCCCTCTCGAAATACCCTTACATAGCAACGCTTATACAGCGACTGACATGGAAGTCTTACTCACTGTCTCTTTGTGGCAGGGGTATTGTTTACGAAATTGAGAGGACGAAAAGCGAATGTCCAATGCTTTAACCGGGTTAGTGGGTATGGAAGATCCCCTTAGAGGAGTTGGAAAACCCTGATTCCGAACCAATGGTACATATGGGCTCCAGGATTTTGAGGGAACAAATAGTGTAGGAACCTATTGTTGGTCACTGGCTACCATTGGACTTCATCTCCTAACGTTGCTCTACTGCCTTGTAGATAAGACATTTAGGCAAAATGCTCGGGAAGTATCCCTCCTAAGAAAACCACCTGTTTCTATCTGGATACCCGGCCAGTATCATGGCCCAGACATAAAGCGAGTGATGCACACATACGTGGTGTCTCCTTGTACCAATGTTTGTGTTTAAGTAAATAAAGACTGGACCAGATAAATAAAGGCAACGTCAGAGTAATATATATATTTGTGTGAATAAATATATTAAAGTTTTGTTTAATGATAAAATACTCAAGTGATGCTGACTGTTTACCTGCATTTTTGTAGGTGAGAATATCTTTATACGACTTCTTAATGCTGTACATTTTTCATTTAAATAACAGATATCATATGATATATTAAGATTATGAGTTTCACTCTGCATAACAACGCTAAATCGTTTTTAATAGGATTCATCGTAATTGTTATTGAAACGAAAAAAAACCCATTAAGTTGAGTTCAAGACAATTCACTTATTCATGATTACTTCTCTAAATGGTGGGAATTACTGGCTAAAAGGAAGAATTCTTAAGATATATATTCACTAAAAGTGTGTTGCCTCCTTATATTTTTGATAAGTATCAGTACCGTATAATTTATTGCTGATTGTTTAACAAAGCAATAGCTAAATTTTGTGTTACACTGTACAGGTTTTTATGAACATGGCGTTTCGATGTGTTTATCCGTAGTAAATTTATTTCTGGCTGTTGTATTTATGATCAGAAATGCATTATTGATTAACCTACTCTTATGAGTTTTATCCATATATGATCAATTTTGCCAATTTAACGATTTGAAATAAATAATAATAATGGATTCCAGACATGATAGGTGTTTTGGTCGTTTTAATGTGACTCCACAGTTAAGATGGCTTCGTAAATACAGATATAATTATTTTTACTTTTATACGAGTGATATCTTATTCACTGTATCGGTGCAGTAAACATATATATTTACCTTAGTAACTAAACTATGTAATATATAGAATACTTTTACTGTCTCTCGTATAAGTAGATTCAACAGTGATAAGATTTATATCTCTTGATTTCTTGTCCGATGGACAAGTTGTATTTCTGATTGCAGTAGTATAATATCTCTTATCGCTAACCATAATCCCTAACGAAATTTTCAAAGATGGTTATTAAAACATACGAAACACTAGTGTGAAAGACTGTAGTGCCTGAAACCAGAACTATATACTGAAGTTTTAAGTAATCGTCACTGACTGGTCTCAGTCTCTAATCTTCCGAGTTTTTAAGGTAAAAAAAAATGATTGTGCTGCAGCTAGAAATAAATCACCCTGACTTATCTATTTTAGGAAACACAATCAATGGACAGCCAAATGTTACTCATCAAACTGGATATAATCAAGCAATTACTGAAACTTATAGTGTTTTGTTACTCCGAGCTTTTTATGCGAATACTTGTTATATTGGTCATGCTTACCTGTTGTGATGACCCAGTCCTTGGTCTGAACAGACAATCAGGGAGACGGAGCGAAGAGGAGGAGAGAGAGAGAAGCGAATCTGAATGACGCGCAATGGAGGAGGCGAGTAGGCCAACTCCATTAACAAAGTGTGAATCGATATTTCTAGTCAAACAAATGTAATTTACAGGTATTTGATTAGTAAGATAAGAAACACGCCTACATAAACACAGTCAAGGTTGATAAGCGAATAATTAACAAGCTCAAAACGTGACTCAAGAAGAATGGATAAATTGGCCTGACCGGAAGCTAGAATAAGTTGTGTGGGCTTGACACAGCAACCGACACTACAATCTACGGTAGCTAACGTGCAAGTAGTTTCAAGTTATATAAAATTAATTCGCTTACTCTATATGGTGGTTGGTAAGTTTAATAATAATTTTTCTCACAGTAATCAGTTAGAAGCTCATCAGCTGTATGAATCTAAAAATAAGGTTATGTAATCGGTTAATCGTAAAATTTCGTTAAGATTAAGAACTAAGAGAATTCGAAATTAGATAACTGAATATAGATTTTTTGTGTTATCTTTAATATTAACAATGTGTAATTAATAAAATCAGTGTAAAGAAAATTTAGGAATTAAATTATTAAAATGCACAGATCATATAAAATGAAGTTATAATTCAAAATTGAATCGAAATAAAAATTTTGAGAAACGTATCCAAAGGGAAAAAGGCCATAGCATCCTGTTTCCACTCTTTACTGTTCGATCCTATTGTTTCTTTGCTGCCAGACCTACTGTTCACGACTACCATCATATACTACTCATGTCGATATAAGTAGCACACACCGTATATATATTCCTATTTTATAACTATTCAGTAACTAGATTATATATATCTATAGTCCCCTTATAATGTTTATTTATTTAAACACACAAACATTGATACAAGAAGGCACCAAATAGATATGCGCCACATAAATCATTCGTTTTGTATGAGGGCTGGGATACTGTTCGAGTGCCCAAACCGAAGCAGGTGGTATTCTTAGGAGGCCACACCCGGAGCCTTTGACCTAAAGGTCTGATCTACATGGCAGTGGAGCAACGTAAAGAGATGTAGTCCAATGGTAGCCAATGACCAACGATTGATTCACTCGCCATTTGTTCCTTCAGGGTACTGGAGCCCATGTGCACTATTGGTTTGGAATCAGGGTTTTTCAACTCCTGTAGGTGGACTCTCCGTGTCCACCAACCCGAATAATGCACCGGACACTCACTTTTCGTCCTCTCAGTTTCGTAAACAACACCCCTGTCACGAGGAGGCAGTGAATGGGACTTTCCTGGCAGTGGTTGTATGCACGTGGCCATGTGAGAGTATTTCAAGAAGGAGAGCTCACTCTCAGATGTACTAGGGCATTTGGGGACTTCATTTTGATCCTATAGATTATTATTATACGATCTACTCTTCTTAAGTTATGTTAACTTTATTGATTACAGCCTCTCACGTTCACAGCCACTTTTTGGCTTGATCTTGTATAAATGTTATTCCCTACTTCATGGTGTGATGCGGTCTGTTTGGCTGGTATATAAACTAAGTGTGTTTGAAATAAACGATTCGTAAATTGCGAATTGTTATTGGCGTTCTGGACTCAACTGGACAAGCTAGACGAACAAAGGACCAATAAGGACTCTAGGCTGCTCATACCGGTTGAACGTCATTGGTTTGGCTGTGCTAAGATTATATCGGTCGTAGTTCGATTGGCAAATAAATCACGTGATAAAAAGACAACAAATGTGGTCACTCATAAAGAAAGATAGTAAAACAAATAGTGAACGGTAGTCGGAAATCTAACAAATAATAGTAATACAGAGCGGCGACATTTATAAGAAGAATATTTCTTTATTAATTGATAGTTAGATAACGTTAGGTAACAAGAAAGCCAAATTAAGTCACAGCTGTAAGCGTTTAAAGTAAAATATTGTATGGTGAAAAAAGTCTCAGTCAGGCACTAAGTAGAAAGACTAATAGAGCGAAGAAATATTTCTTTTCATTTGTTTTTCCATCATAGCTCTATACTAATATAATGTGTTAGTTTATCAAATGCATACATTCTTCCATGCATCCATGAAAAACACAAACCGACCACCCATCAGTACTTTTGATCAGTTCATCGAATTATCGAACGTCCGTCTGCAATCGGTTCTTCAGACCGTCCATTGCACCATGAGTGTGGTTTGATTGACATGAGTGATCTTCTCTCATTTTGATCTCGGTTTTCACCTCATTTTACCTCTCCATCTGATCAGTTGGAGTTGTATTCTGGTCAAAATTGTAGTTGTTTTATGTGGTGTGTAGGTATTATTAAATAGTGATTATCGTTGGACAGGTTGTGCGAGGTGCGTTATTTGATGATTGTTCCAGTTGGTGATTGGGGTTGTTCGTGTGTGGATAGGATGTATATATATACCAAATAATTGTGTTAATAAAAATACAAGTTCAAGTGTCTATGAAAATAGTTGTTTAACGAGACATGTAAATGAAGTGGATGAAATGATAAATGTTCAAAGATAATAATTAACAAATGAACAGATTGGATTATGTGCGTTAAGGATCGATAATAGTAGAGTTGATAAAATATTTGATAGAAAATCAAATATAAATAACAGTTACGTCCTAAAAAATTTGGATATGTATTTGCAAGATTAAGAATAAAACTGATAAAATACTTGATAAGAAGCTCAATAATTATAATAACAATTGAAAAATGCCACTGATGTACTGATAATTATAAACTTTAGTAAGAATAGAAGCAAGTATTAAAACTATGTAAAAACATTCAAATGAACGAAGATTTCAGAAAATTTGCAAATTTAGACTTATTCTTCCATGATATCCATTGGTCGCCAAGTTAGAAAGAGGTTTGTGAACTTCCTTCGAGTACAAAGTTTGGGCTTCCGAATGTGGACAGCGATGGCTTCAAGAGATCCCCAGGATGAACCTGTATTACTATTATCACTTCAATTATAGTCATAATTAACGATCCCCTCCCCTTAAAATGACTAATATGTCCTCAATCCGCGATCATCTCCGTCAGATAATCTATTTACCTAGTAAACGTAGGCACTTTATAACTAGTGTATCTTCTTCAATTTTTCT